CAAATTTAACGGACAGTTCATAATAGAACAAATTATACACCAATTCTATGAACAGACTAAATAAGGATGAACATCAATTAGAAAACCTATTGAAAAACCAAATATCGGTAACTACTTCTGTTATTCAAAATTTCAACACAACTATAAGAAAACTACAAGTTGACGAACAAACCTTCAACAAAGATATAAAAGTAATTGAAAAATCGATAATAGAATTGAATGACAGAATGAGTCAAATAGAAGCAAAATTGAACTTCATAAAAATTTGTGAAAAACTCATGGAAAGCTTCCTATATTTACAAGAAAATGTAAATGACGTTTTAGATTCTATCACATTCACATGATGGAACATTATTCATTCTTCAATCATAACACCGGAACACTTGGTGAATGCATTTTGTTAGAATTATCCCAAAATTTAAGAAGGAATAACCTTCTACTTTCTCCAAAACTAGAGAAAGTTGCTCAATTTCTTGAAATAATAGAGCTTGAAGCATTTCAAACCAAATCCAACTTGGTTTTTGTACTCAAAATCCCACTAATAGGAAATTGAAACAAATTTATGGTTTATAATACTTTCCGAACCATTACAAGTGACTGAACTGTCTCGGAAAGAATCCAAAAATGAAATTAATCAACAAAAATTCCATAGTTACTCTCGAAACCGATTGTAGTGCATTTATCGGAATCACGAAAATTCAAGCGGATTCCAGATTTACAAAATTATCAAATGTTTCGTATGGATCACATCCAGTCCTAATTCCATAATATTGCTGTAATGAGATCCCGGACAAATCGAATCTCCCGAAGCTGAAGCCGCTGAAACTAAGCGACTTAAACGTCGACGATTTGGATATCGCAAAGCATAAATTGGATTCTTATTCAAAAACTCTTGACGATTTGATAAATCAACCTTATGTAACCAAACGCATCTCATAGTTTACACATTTGACTATCATACTCATAATAGTACTAATAATTTTGTGAATTTTCTGTAAGTACAGCTGTGCCGTAATTTTGCATTTCATTCCCAGTCAAAAAAAGTTGCTGCATCGAACCAACTTTTTGAATATGAAGAAAGTTGTTATATGTTGTTTATTGACCTTCTCCATTCATAACCAAGTAAAACAAGATCAAATGTCAAGACTCTGCGGAATCAACATCTGCTAATAGGCAGTTCTTCAAATTACTTCCGTCCTTTCTTTGGAGGATTGCCACATTTTTTTTGTATCAAGATGGAGTAGTAGAAAGCCAAAAACTTTCTTTCCCAAAAATTAATCACTCCTAAAAATATAACCCCTTCAATTCAGATAAGGGAATTAATACAGTTCAAAATCAAGACATTGATAGTAATGATAGGGACAGCACTGAATAGAATAGGCATAATCGTATCAAGAGAAATTATATTGGAGAAACAAGATTTTTCAATCCTGCTTCACAGTTTAAAAGAAATGAAAAAACATGGAAATACAGAAACAGGAATCAGAAGGGGTATATAAATAGCTATGTACAGTAAGTAAATGATGGGTCATTTTAGGGTTATTAGAAAAGGAAGACGAAATTGTAAACAGGTTTTTTCAGTAAAAAATAACAAAAGAAATATGTGATATCGAGCTAGGACATATTATCAAAATGAAAATTTTAGGAAAAAATAATGTTGGAGGCGAATTTAATGATAAAGATAATGCTGATTTAATGCTAGGCACATTTCTACAGCCTAATAAAACGTTTGTTTGAAGGTGTTAAATATTATTTACAGAATTAGATATTTCAATATCAGCCACAGGAATTTCATTTGTTAATTACAAGACAAATGTTTTATGTACATTGTAACTAAATATGAGTAAGTGATTTCAATGCTTGAAATATGAAATAAGCAGTTGTTTCAGTAAATTTTTTTCCAATTTGTTTCTGGGGGAAAATTCAGTATTTATAAAGGCAACTGTTTTAACTGAATCTTCCAGAAATCCGCTTCTTAGAGACAAGAAGTTTTTTAAGATCATTACTTTTAGTTTTTATTACTTACCTATTTTATATTACATGTTGTTTTCTTTTCCTGATGTATGTGTATGTATTCTTAAATTATAATTGAGAAAACATGATTTTCGTGTAATTCAAATATTCATAATTATTGGACTTTTTCTTCCAGTCTGAATTTGAAGAAGTTTTTTTGCGTGATCCTCTCATCGACATATTCAATATTTATTCCTTTCTTTAGAAGTTTCCCACTCGTTGATGGACAAGCAATAAACCAAACAGGTTTTTCCCAGTTTGAAAATATTTTTCAATTCCCCATTTTTTTGTATAGGAAACAGCTTTGAGTTTGATATCTTTGAAACTTTCAATATAAAAATAATAGTATCAGAATTATTTTTATTATCCTTAAATTTTGTTATACAATAGCAAGTTCACAGCAGAATGTTTCTGATTTAATATGAACTGATTCTTTAAAAAAGTCTAGCAAATAAAAAGTGTATTTTAAAAAAATGAGCACTTGTTTATATGGTTTACATATAAAGAGCAATTACCAAGAAAATCCAGTTTAAATACAACAATATTTTAATGAAACTTCGATATAACCGTAAAGTTTCAAAAAAAACTTCATAAATATCTGTCACAAATAATCCTTTTCATCAATTTTTCAGTATCTCTAAAGGACGGGTTCAACAAACTTTAAAACATTGTACTTTGTGTTTTGGGATTATATCCTTCCCCAATCTGAAAAAAAAAATCAATAGAGAATATGCTGAAGTGTAATAAAAGGCAAACTGAAAATATCGCCATGAAAAGTTACTTACTAATAAAAACCACTGAAGGATCAAATAAGTCAAGTAATTTGTATCTATACATATTGCTTACAAATTCAATGGTTTACTTTACATGGTTAATGTTCAGGAAAACTATCCTTTTCCTTTCTCAGAAGTCAAAGTCACTTATGAAAAATGCCCCAATCGAAAATACAATGTAGTGTATACAGGTAGTAACACACTGTAAGGGTATTGTGACTTAACGCCGATGTCTCAATCTGCCTACTCTCTACGTCTCGCCGCTGGTCTCTGCAAGAATCAAAGCTTATGAGTAAGCAGATTGAGACCCTTGCAGAAACCAGCGACGAGACTGGGGCAGACTGAGAGCTCAGTGTAGTGATAACTTCTTGAAAATGGCTTCAAAGTCGAAGTCAAACCGTCGAACTACTAAAAACACCAGACGCAGTACAATCTGAACTTCAGATTGTGAGATTGAAGACTATAGAAACTTTTTCGAACACATATACATATATACTGTGTCACACACTTAAAATGATGACATCCCTGTATTTTAGTCAATTTTGAAAGCGAAGATTTGATTTTCAGTTCAGACGTAGACCCTCATGTGCCGCACTTTTCGCAATACTTAGCCCAAGCGACAGCCTTAAACCCAGCTTGGCTGGATTTAAGACCATCACTCGGGTGAAGTATTGCGAAAAGTGCGGCACATGAAGGTCTATGACTGTACCAAAAATTAAATATCTGCTTTCAAAAATAACTTAAATACAGGGGTGTCTTCATTTCGAGTGTCACACTCTGTGTGTGTGCATTTTTTTCTGCATATTATAGTACCTCATGGTATATGAAATTTTTCTTCTGATCCAGGCATTCTTCACAAGTGAATTAAATGGCTTTTGAGACATAAAAGGATAGTTTTAGTTTAACGAAAGCTTGTCAAAAGAAATATAACTGTCACCGATTGATAAATTCACCACAAATGACTTTTTGGGGTTCTAAGAACGGAAATGATTAGTTTTATGAAATTCAAAGAAAAATAAGTACAGAATTTCTTTTTTTCTTGAACTGATTCTTTAAAAAAGTCTAGCAAATAAAAAATGTATTTTAAAAAATGAGCACTTGTTTATATGGTTTACATATAAAGAGCAATTACCAAGAAAATCCAGTTTAAATACAACAATATTTTAATGAAACTTCGATAAAGTCGACATGATTTGTAGTATAATTTGACATGCACAAGGACCAAGTAAATTTGTTAATCAACTCCCTATGGAAGGACTCATGGTGCCCTGATATAAACATGTCAATATAAAAAAGGGTTAACAAAAATAAAGAGAAAAGAAACAAAAGATTATGATGAAAAAAGTACAGTATTCAGCAGAACTGAGAGACATTATATTCAGTAGTTATTTGTATTCTTGGTGAACACAAATAGTTGTGTTACAGTCACCTACAAATTTTAGAATGTGTAAAAAATAGCCCTTTCACCTAAATCTCTATTATCTATGTAAAACATTTTGAAATTAAAGTCAATTTTTCTCACAGCCTTCATTTATCTTATACAAAATCAAGGCATATCTTAATGGAATGACCAACCAGAATTCTGCAAATTTTAACTAAACTCAAATAATCTAATATTTATATTTAACAAAATTGAAAATGTTCATGACATGATATTTCTATATGTCCAAATTAATTATCACATTCAGTTTGCAGACAATGTAGCTACGACAAAATGATGATATATTTTTTACATTACAGTTTGAAACAAATATATTTATAAGAGGGATGTTTTCCGTAACCGATTGGACTGCAACTTTGAGAGTTAAATGTGCTTTGATGACCAATTTAGGAGGGACAACATATTTGTATATTGTTAATAATTTATTACCTAACAACTGACAAAATAACTACAAGACTTTTTGTGAGCATCTCTTTGGTCTAGCAGACCGTTGATAAAAACATGAAATTGGTCTTTCCACATACAATTATCATCTAAAATATTACAATTACTTTCTGTTATTATGGTTTCACAGCCATCAATTATTACATATTAATGGTATAACAGTATACAGTATAAACTCATCAGATAATCTTTGGAACAGNTTTCGTTTTTTCTTATTTTTTCGCTTTTTTTTCTTTTTCTTTTTTGGAAGGCTATTGTCAGTAACTGGAATATGTATTGGTGGATGATTGAAAACAGGGGTAATTAATGGCTCTTCAACTACCAAAACACTAAAAAAAATATTGACTCTCCCACAAAAATAACTTTCAAAGAACATTGTGCATTGTACTACGACCAGTACATAGTGTACTTCAGAAGTAACTATGAATATGGTGTCACATTATTTTTTCGTCAGATTTGGGTTTGGTAGGCTGAAAACGAAATTATTATGAAACGAGTCAAAATATCGAACAATATTTCAAACTGCTATTGAATATGAACTAACTGAGAAACATTTACTTCTCACCAGTTTCATTCACATCAGTCAGTATATTGGGAAACACAATAATACTTGCCTAATTTTAATTATTTTTCCAAGACATTGATGTAACCACTGAATGAATTTTGAAAGTGAAATTTTGAAAATGATTACTCGGGAATCTCACTGGAATATCTCACTACTTTTACATTTTATTGAAATTTATGCCTACTTCCGGCCTATCTGATCAAAATTGAATATTCCTGAAAAAATGTTGAATATGATATACATCAAGAATAATGTTATAGATACTAAATGATCTAACACCCAATTCATGAAAGATAGCACCAAATCAAGGAATATAAAAAAGAATATCAAATGAATTATTATTGTAAAACGAGAAGGCACTTTGGAAATTTCAAGTTGTGATCTGAGGAAAGGTATATTTTTAAATTCACTTTGATCAGTCCTGAGCACAATTTGAGTATCTTTTTCCCTGAATAGGTCAGAATTCATTTCACTATGGTCAATTGGATATTGTAAAGATCGTGTTTCACTTTGGTCTTCTGCATTCTCTTCCGATTCATCATTTAGAAAACAAGTTGTTTTTGTCCAGCAGACATTTTCTTTAGGATCTTCTGTCAATTTGAATGTTACCATCTTGTTTGAATGTTGGTAAATATTATATTCATATGTTTGAAACAAAATACTTCTTCGTCTCCTCACATCACGCAACTTTTCTTGTTCACTTGTATAAAAACTAAAGTCTTTACCCACTCCTTCGAAAGAATTAAATTCAGTCAAAATATTTTTGGCATTTCCATATTCATATCCAGAAAAATAATTATTTTGAAAATAATGTGAATCTGAATCAATTAACAAATTTTCTAGTGTACAACAGGCGAGTCCATCATTATAAGGAACAATACTCATATCTCCATTAATTTCTATATTATTTAAAACATCAGTACCATAATGCTTCACCTTATTTTTACGACTTCTTGAAGTTTTCTCATCATTTGCCCCACCAGAAAAACCACATTTTATTCCTAGAATGTTATCTTTGATAGTATCAGATTTATCGAAATATTCAAAGCTTTCCTCATAAGCGTTTTCTTGTTTTTTATCTTCATATACTTTTATATCATTACTAAAAGTATTGAAGCTTGTGCATCCAGAAACTATATTTTCTTGCATGTGTTTAGTACGTTTCCTATTCTTTTTTTTCTTTTTCTCAGACAATATAATAGTTGACGTAGGCAGTGCTATTTCTTTTGTTTCTTTACTTTCATATTGCAAATTTTCCTTATAAATTCCATCAAGGGTATCAGAATTTGATAGATGAGTTGGTAATTCATTGTCAATTTGTTCATTATCGGTCTCTATTTTTTCTGGAGTATTTTTCTTTTTTACATCTGAAACAATTACACATAAGTCATTGTTACAATCAGTTTTAGTTTCACCATCATTAGATTCATTATCAACTTTGATAACAGATTGATAAAGGTCAGGATTAGGAAAAGAAATATATCTACTTTTTGTTTCATCACCAGAAAGTTCACTAGGACTCCACAAGTTGTTTAAACTATTAATTAGACTAGAATTTGGAGTTCCAATTATACTTTCATTAGTATTTCTATAAGAAATCTGCCTTTCTGATGTTTTCGTTTCTTCATTTCTTGCATCCCTGACTTTATTATTATTGGAAGGTTTCTGTTCATTTCGAGGAACTTCAACTTTTGATGTAAAATTAGAAAATGTTTCACATAATATGTTGCTTGATTCATTAACCTTATTTTTCTTCTTCTTACCTTTAATTGACGAGTTTTGCCTTTCATTTGAATTACTTTGTTTATTAGTGTTATTTTTTTCATTTTGATTCTTTGGGGTCTCTGTATCCAAACAATTAAATTGTGAAACTGCTGGTGAGGGGAATTTTTCATCAGATGGACGAAACACAATGAATTTAATTTTTTTTTCCTTTTGGTTACCAACGTTGTTCTCAGTATTTACTTCAGTGACATGGTTTTGATTTGAACATGAATCAATTTGATAACTTACGCTTTGATCTTGTTCATTTCCTTTGTTGATTTCTTTAATTTTTATAGACCTATGATATTTCTCAATTGTATGTATTAAATGTAATGGGACAAAATGAGTTTCTTTTTTACTTTTATCAATTTCAACTTCGCTAACTTCACAGTTGGTGGATGAAAAAGTCACACTGGCCCCTATTGAATGCATTTCTGGGAAAGCATTTTCAAAATGAACATTCTCCAATTCACGATCAGAATTTCTTAAATTTTGCCCTTGCTGTGAAAGGCTCTCAATGGTATTTCCTTTTTTTTTCTTTTTTCCCTTTTTTTTCTTTTTCTTTTTTGTGGAGTTCTTGTCAATTTCGCTTAGTGATTCAAATGATTGAAAATCTACAATTTGTTTCAAAGTGGAAACATTTGAAGATCTAGACTCTGCCACTTCTAGTTCGTGATTGTCAACTTTCTTTCCATTTACTTCAAGGCTACTGTCAACAACTGGAATATGTATTGATGAATGATTGAAGTCAGGGGGAAATAATGGTTGTTCGACTACCGAAAAGTGCTTATTTTTTTCCAGTTGAGCTTCCAAGCGATTGATCCAAACATTTTCAGGTCTTCTAGGAGCCACAACATCTAAAGGGAGGGGTGGTGGTTTATACTGTCCATGGATATGGTCAAATTCTTCAAAATCATGTAGATGAAGAGGTATGAATTTAATTTTTTTCTTCTTTTGGTTACCAATGTTTTTCTCAGTATTTACTTCAATGACATGATTTGGATCTGAATATGAATCAATATCTTTACCTATGCTTTGATGTGGTTCATTTCCTTTGTTGATTTCGTTAATTTTCATAGACCTATGATTTTCCTCAATCACATTATTCAAATCTAATGGGACAAATTCAGTTTCATTTTTACTTTCATCAATTTCAACTTCCCTGACTTCACAGTTGCTGATTGGAAAAATCACACTGGCCTCTTTTGAATGCATTTCTGGAAAAGCATTTTCGAAATGAACATTCTCCAATTCATGATCAGAATTTCTCAAATTTTGCTCTTGATATGAAAGACTCTCATTGGTTTTTCGTTTTTTCTTATTTTTTCGCTTTTTTTTCTTTTTCTTTTTTGGAAGGCTATTGTCAGTAACTGGAATATGTATTGGTGGATGATTGAAAACAGGGGTAATTAATGGCTCTTCAACTACCGAAAACTGCTTAGCTTTTTCCAACTGAGCTTCCAAGCGTTTGGTCCAAACATTTTCAGGTCTTCTAGGAGCCACAACAACAAGATTTCTCCGAATAACATCTAAAGGAAGGGGTGGTGGTTTATACTGTTCATGGATATGGTCAAATTCTTCAAAATCATCAGAGTCAGTTTCCGTATCTGAAAAACGGAGTCCATGCACCTTCAGAGCCAACAACCATTCTTGTTTTTTCTGAAAACAATATAACAATTTGAATTTCAATGAATCATATAAGAACTAATACTATAGCAAATATTCCTTGTTCAATAAACGCATTTTTTTCATTTATTCATTTATACCCGTTGAGACACTGAGAATTTTCTTCATTCAATATGTCTATATAAATATTATAGAAAAGTTTACTGAAAAACTAGGTACAAAATAAAACATTTCAAAATTTTCAGGTAACAAATTCACTTACATCATACAATACTTTATCACTTAAGTAACCATTCAACATTCTCTTGAAGTTATTTACATTATTACAGTCTTTGATTGGCTTTGGCAGGTTAGTACCGGTCAGTACCGTCAGTACCGGGGGCAGGCGGTCCTCAATTGAAGACAAAATGTTAATAACCAAGAAAAGTACTTGATAAAAATAACTGGGTGAACGCAAGCAAGACATAAGTGGAACCACCTATTGGTGAGATACCCAAGTCAACTCGACAAGTTTTTATGTCAGTGTTGGTGGTTGGACCCATCAACCGACAACTGCGATATCAGAAATTTGGGAAGCTAGCAACATGTGGATTCGTTTTCCGATGCCATTCCAAGATAGCTTCCTACATTTTGTCTTCAATCGAGGACCGCCTGCCCGGTACTGACAATGCCCGACAGGCTGAAACAGCTGTCTACCGGTGGCTCTTGAATTGAAATCAATATGGGAGTGATCAGAAAAGTATTTATCTATATAGGAAAGGGGCAACCTTGAGCATGTCATAATGCACCTCTCCGGAATATTATTCATCAGCAAATTGATGTTCGTATACTCTACTGGTCACACGTCTTTGGTCTGGCTTACATATGTTCAATCGCAATTGGAGCATGGAATTTCATATATACCCTGGGATTCATTGACAATTTTGTCCTTGGGGAAATGGAGGAATGTGGAAATTTGATTGTTGGCGGTAAATATCGATTTTATGTCCTGTTTTTTTGAGAATTCGGCCAATTTTGCCAGTTACAGCCTTAATGTAGGGAAGGAAAGCTTTGTGGGTAACGTTGTTGTTTTTTGGATCTTTGGGACCGGACAAAGAAGTTTGTTGACGATGGATGGATCTATCAATTTGATGGTCTGTGAATCCATTTTGAAGGAGAGCTGATTTGAGTTGAGCCAGCTCTTGTGGTTTGTTGTGGTGGTCTGTGAGGTTGATAGATCTGTGGATGAGAGAATTCAAGACCGAGTTGGTTTGTGCTGAATGATGGTGGGATTTTGCGTTGAGGTATCTGTTTGTGTGTATTGGTTTTCTGTAGACCGTGAAGGTGAAGCAGTTATTGGATTTTGTGATGAAGACATCTAGGAATTAACCATGGTTTCAAGCATGTTGGTTTAAACCTGCCAACCCTGTTTGTTATTGAACCTGTCAATAATCTTGATTTCGAAGTCTTCCATGAAAAATTTTGCAAGGACCGGTGAAAGAGGAGAACCTATGGGGGCGCCCTTTACTTGTTTGTAGAAGGTACTTTGGAAGAGAAAGTATGTGTTGGACATACATACTGAGGAGGCTGAGGGTGCCTTTGGAAATTTGGGGATTTTAGTGAATAAAGACACTACGTCAAAACTCACAAGGATGTCAGTCTGTTGAATATTAAGGTTTTTGAGGATTTCAATGAAGTGAAATGAATTTCGTACGTATGACGAGGACTGTTCTGCCATGAGTTCAAAAACTCTGTTGGATATCTACGCTCGATGGATAAACAATAATAGTGGCGGAAAACTGTGAGGGGAGTGAGAGGGGGCCTATTTTGTGTGTAATAGTTATTAAAAAAAGTGGAATTGGTGATAGAAAGGTGGTAACAATTGAGATTTAAAATAAATTTCTGCCAATGCAGTTAGTTGTCAGTTGATTGGTCAAACCATCAATGCCGACTTAAAAACTTGGCAAGCTAACTTGGGTGTCATACCAGTAGGTGGTTCCACTTATGTCTCGCTTGCTTTCACTGTTATTTTTATCAAGTTTTTCACACTTTGTCTTCAATCGAGGACCGCCTGCCTGATACTGACGATGCCCAACAGGGTGAAACAGTTGTCTACCGGTGGCTTTTGAATTGAAATCAATATGGAAATGATCAGAAAAGTGTGACAGATACCCAACGGAAAAAACAACAACTAACCCTGCTAATGCCCAGCAGAGAGTTGAAGTAAAACCATCAGGCACCTGTGCAACGTCTTCGACTTTCAAAATGGACTCTTTAATAATTGCATTCATCCAAAATTTTGATTTTTTTTGGGTAAAACTTACAACGGAAAATTATTTTGAAAATGAAAATGTTTTGTTGTTCAATGTTGATAGTCTAATACAAGATTGAAACAATACTCATTCAAGATTATTTTTGACGAGTTTTAATTGGAGAAAATATTTCAAAACTACTTACAGTTACACATTTTATAAAAAAATTTTTAGATGTGAATCCTTCCAAATGTCAGTCATTTGACTGATATAAAATATTCTTCTTTGTGTTAGAAAAAAATATATATTGTAGAAAAAGATAAAAAGCTTACTGTTGTATTGAATAATCAGTTTCCTTAGTGGCCTTGATATTGTCTTCACAGAAGATTGCAAAGCTTTATAATCTGGTAACCAAATATATAAAATGCTGGACATATGTAACTTCAAATATATAAACTCAGACAATGTATGTAACTTATACTTTTTTTTGTTGGTTTAATTTATGATGACTATAGTGCACCATTCACTTATGAATTTTTTGTTTATATGCATGTAACTATTGTTTGGTTGTAATACTTTTTTTTGTCGGTTTAATTTATGATAACTATAGTGTACCATTCGCTTATCAATTTTTTGTGTACCTATTGTTTGGTTGTATTCAATGTTCAAGATCAAGCGTACTATAGGTAAGTTCATGGTTGAGTGGAAGGGCAAAAACCTGTCCTTTTAAAAATATTTTTGAACTCTACCTTTGCATTGATTGGTGCAAGTGAAATTATCCCTTTTTCATATGGCGTCGACTGAAGGTGACACGAGCGAACCTCAGGAATCAAAACGCGAAAAAGCGGATAATTCTGTTAAAAATAACGATGAAAAGTATGTGGAAGAGCCCAAGAACATGTTCAAGTGCTGTGCAAAGAAAACATCAACAGTTTTAATTTGTATAAAGTGCTTTTCTGTCTACCATAAAAGTTGCGTAGCTCAAATGAAAACTGTCGAGATAGGTGAAAACAAAATAATCTGTTGTGACAGCTCAGGTATCTAAGATATATTGATCATTTGAAAATTGATGATAAAAATCAAGTTCTGAAGGAAAACAATGCACTTCTTATCCAAAGAATTGCGCAACTGGAGGAAAAAAGAAGCCAAAAAAAACCTCCAAAAGAAAACAACTCAATTCCGACGAAGGAAAAACCGTTTCAAGGCTCGAATCAAAATCCAAGATCAAACCATCATCAACAAATCAAACATAGTACAATGGTAAAATCATCAGGAAACGCAACAGAAGATGCCAACCCAAGCAGCAGTTTGTCCCTGTCCAAACAGGAGCAAAGTGTGACAGTAACAGATACAGAACGCCCTGGAAATGGAATGGAGCTAGAACAAACACCTAGATACTGGCAACACTGAAACCACAGATGACACGCCTGACACAAATGACAATGATTAATGACAGCGATGAAAACAAACAAGAATCATGGACGGAGGTGGTGAAAAGAAAAAAGAAAATCCACGAAAGAATCAGTACAGCAACAGAGGATAGGTCCAATGGTACTTTAATTGGAGCAGCGGTCCCTAGACGAGCTTGGTTCTATGTGGGAAAAATAAAAAATAAGGAATCAACACCTGAGATGTGGGAAAAATGGCTCAAAGAAGATAACAAAGACGCCGTTTTTACTGTGGAAAAACTCGAAAACAAAGGAAAGTTCTCATCCTTCAAGATTGGAACACCCATGAATCTGCTGAGTAAATTCGAAAACCCGAATTACTAGCCACCTGAAGTCATAGTAAGACGTTTCAACTTTTTGAAAAACAGAGAAAATGATTTTTTTAGGTCAGAAGTGAGCTGCCACAGCAGTTCCAAGAAGCATTTTCAAATTGTGTATCAAAACGTGAGGGGCCTGCGTACCAAATTAGAACCCTTTGATAAAAATGTATTGTGCCAGAACTCAGGTGTCCTAGCTGTCACTGAAACCTGGCTGAATGATTCCTTCTACGATGGTGAAATAGGAAACTCCAGGTACTGGGTTTTCCGCAATGACAGAAAGTATGAAGAAATGCAAAGCCATAAGAGTCGGAGGTGTCATGATTCTAGCCAAAAAGAAGCATTATCCACAGCTGATCACCAAAAGTAATAGTGTAGACTATGACTGGATAATCACCTCTGTTACGTTTCGAGGAATCAAAATCTTAATATGGTGTGTATACATTCCCCCAAATTCAAGACAAGAAGTATACAATGAGATCATTTTATCTCTAGAAAGTGTTGATGAATTGAATAATTCCGATTTTGTCTACATTATAGGCGACTTTAATATTCCAGAAATAAATGGTGCATCTTTCGGTTTCGAGACCTGCACAGGTAAAGGTAAATATATTGATGACCTCATGAGCAACTATGATCTCTTTTCTGTAAATGATATAACTAATTCAAACCACGTCACTCTTGACCTCGGCCTAACAAATTTAGGCAGCACAAGTGTTACAAAGGCAACTTCAAGACTATATGATAGCATAGACGAGTATCACCCCCTACTAGAAATTGATATTACTTTGATCGGCTCAGAATCTGTGACAAACGAAGAAAATATCCCAGAATATATTTATATATTTCCGGAGCGGTGATTACGTCAAACTCTATCACCTAGTAAGCCAAACTCAATGGGAAAATGTGTTAGTATCAAAAGATCCGGATGAGTTGGTTGATGCTTTTTACAAAAGACTCTATGGTATATTTGAGGAATGCTTGCAAAAAAAGGAAATAAAGTACAATAATAAATTCCCCCACTGGTATAGCGCTAA